GATTTTGTTTCTACTCTTAACATTTTTCTTCCATTTTATTTATTTTTTAATTTTAATTTTTTTTGGCTGCATCGTGAGGTTTGCAGGATCTTAGTTCCCCGACCAGGGATTGAACCTGGGTCATGGCAGTGAAAGCACCGAGTCCTAACCACTGGAACACCAGGGAATTCCCACCTTCCATTTTACTTTTGAACTGGTTGGTGGTTTGTATATAGAAATGCTGTTGATTTCTGTATATTAATTTTGTGTCCATACTGTATTGAATTCTCGTTTCCTCTTCAACTGCCCACATACATAATTGTATCACCTAGATATAATTTTGTATGCACCTTCCCAATGTTTATCTTTTTTTTCTTTTCTATATGCATATAGAATTATAGTAAACAAATGTGGTACCATGAGTAATCTGGTCATGTTCCTGACTTTAGTAGGAATATGTAGCATTTCCCGCAGGAAACATGGTTCTGGCCTTTAGCTTAGTATGTGTGTAGAATAATTTTTTAAATATCATGTTAAGGAAGTGTCCTTTTACTTCTATTTTATAAATAGATCCTCTTTAAAAAATCTCAAATTCTGATTTTAAAAAAATTAGTGGCTCTGTGGAGCTGATTTTATATTTATTTATTTATTTATTTATTTATTTATTTATTATTATTATTTTTTTTAGTATGCGGGCCTCTCACTGTTGTGGCCTCTCCCGTCGCGGAGCACAGGCTCTGGACGCGCAGGCTCAGTGGCCATGGCTCACGGGCCCAGCCGCTCCGCGGCATGTGGGATCTTCCCGGACCAGGGCACGAACCCGTGTCCCCTGCATCGGCAGGCGGACTCTCAACCACTGCGCCACCAGGGAAGCCCTGATTATATATTTTTTTGAATATGATAAATTATATTAATGGATTTCCCTAAATTGAAACATCTTTCTGATAGAAAAAATTGTTTCACTCAATTCTTCTCCAGTTACAGACAGTCCCCAACCTAAGACAGTTTGACTTATGAATTTTCGACTTTACAATGGTGCAAAAGTGATACACACAGAAAACATAGATACCTTGAATTTTAAATTTTGATCTTTTCTCAGGCCAGCTTTGTGACCACAGGTCACAGGTCAGCCATGTGACCACATGGGTCAGCCATGTGACCACATGGGTAAACAACCAATACACCCTTACAACCATTCTATACTCATTCAACTGTTCTGTTTTTTCACTTTCAGTACAGTAGTCAATAAATCACATGAAATATTCAACACTTTATTATCAAATAGGCTTTGTGTTAGATGACTGAAGGCTAATGTAAGTGTTCTGAGCATATTTAAGGTAGGCTAAACTAAGCTATGATGTTTGGTAGGTTAGGTGTATTAAATGTATTTTCAATTTATTATATTTTCAAATTATGATGGGTTTATCAGGATGTAAGTCAGGAAGGTCTGTAGTCTACAATTCTTTGCAATTCCAATTAAAATCCCAACAGCATTTCTTCCTTAGAGCTAGATAAACTGATTCTAAAATTCAAATGAAAGCATAGAGGTCCCAAAGTAGCTAAGGAATTTTTTAAAACTAGAACATTTGTGTAGTGGGAAGTGGGGAAATGCCTGCCAAGCAAACAGGGTTATTATAAAGTTAAAGTAGTTAAGACAATGTAAACACACACACGCACGCGTGTGTGCATGCACGCACACACACACACACACACACAAAGCATAGTACTGGTATAGATGTAGATAAACAGATTAAAGAAACAGAATAAAGAGCCTAGAAACAATTAAGCATGTATATTATAAAGGTGGCATCACAAAGTAAAGATCTATTTAACAAATGGTATTGGAACACTGGTCTCCTACATGCAAAAATAATTTTACTGATATAATTATCAGCAAATTCCTACCTTGGACCACTTACAAAATTGAATTCCAGTTGTATCAAAAACTAAATATGAAAAGCAAAGCTTTGAAAAGAAACTATAACATAATATTAGGAAAGATATCTTATAAAATACCAACATTAGAAACTCATGAAAGAAGACTATTAAACATTAATGTTGCATATATCATTTCAAAGAGGGCTTATGAGACCAAAACCAGGAGCTCTTAATGCTGTGACCAAAGACTGAAGTTCTCCACGGGATGTAACAGTCACTCAACAGTGCTATGTCTTCCTGAGGAGATACAAGATTTAACCACTTATATCCATGATTGCTGATACGGGAAAGTAAAAATAAATGTTTCCCAAGTTTAACAACAACAATAAAAATTAATGTTGCATATTAATTTTGACTGAATTATTACTGTATGCACAAAGATCATATGCTAGATGAAACTACCCAAATTTAAAGTTTATATACAACAAAAGATACATGGTAACATATAAGTGACAAATTAGAAGAAGATATCTGCATAAATCCTAATGCTGAAGCAGGCATTCTTAAAATCCCTTAATTTCAAGTAGAAAAAGGACAAACGGCATAAAATGGACAAATAATATGAACAGACAGTTGGCAAAATTTGCATTTCTTCGCTCATGAGTGGATTTCCATTTGTACAGTATCATAAGAGTGTGGTCCTAGAGTCAGGTTGTATGGGTTTGAATCCTGGCTTTACTGCACACTTGATGCATGAAGTTATGTAAGTTTCTTAATCTCTGTGCTTCACTTCCTTTCTCTATAAAAACGAAAATAATATCTACTTTACAAACTTCTGATAACGATTACATGAAATAAGCTATGTTAAGCTTATAGCACAATATACCTGGCACATAATAGGTACTCAATAAAGCTCTTACACTTATTGCTGTAGAAGATTTTTCTAGCTGCTGTGTAGTCTATTCAAATATAAATAAAAGCTGCCATGGAATACATTTACATCCATATTCTAGAATGAATGCCCAGAAACATAGGCAGTCCATTTCTGTTTGATAGTCCAGACCAAGATGCCTGGCTCTGGTGTCTGAAAGGAACTGAATGAAGTTTTTGAAAGCTAACAGAGTGTCCTATTTGTAGATCACAACTCCTTATCTCCAGCTTTTTACTTTATAAGGAAAATTCACATGTGAACTAATTATTTGGAACCCTCTCATAAAAGATGGTCATTACCCACTAATTCAAAATACACCTAAAAAATGTACCTACAAATCTGAATAGTCTGTTTCTTTGTGACATTTTTATTTTAAAATATTTATTGCCACTTGCATTTTTTCCAACTGCTTGCTCATGTTCTCCACCCAATTTTCTAAATTATTGGTTTTTAAGAATTGTTAGTATATTTCTGCATATGTATTACAAAAACTGTTCCCAGTTTTGCCTTATTACATTGTTTATGGTAGTTTTATTGAAGAGAAGGATTAATTTTGTGAACACAAATGAGGCATCTACTCTTTTATCAGTTTCATATGTTAAACTAAAAAAGTAGGTCAATGAATACAGTGAACACATTCAAAGACCTTTTCAGGTAGAAAGATTTATATAGCTAATAATTATTAACAATATTTATCATTTATGGAGCACTTACTATGTGCATTTAACCCTCCCAATATTCCTATGGGGTAAGTATTATTATTATCCCCATTTACAGATGATGTAACTAAGGCCAAAGAGATTAAGAAACTTGCCCATAATCATGCACTTACTGTCACTGAGCCAAGATTTGAACTCAAGTCTGTGTAGGCCCAGAAAACCACTCTGCCAAAAGGAGAAATAACTGGATAAGCCACACAATCATATGGTCAATAAAAATGTGTGTGTGTTTCAGGATGGAAAAGATATGAGCTGAGGAAAAAGAGGCAGTGGAAAATATTTAAAATACAGGAGTGTGAGGGATTCCAGTGTTGGAAACAAAAAGAATCAACAGCAGAGGAAAATGAGTCATTTTGTAAGAAGATGAAGAATACTGTATCTTTTGAGACCATAAAAAAAGACATGGAGAGTTATAGATACCAGAACTATAAAAAATTCTGCCACAGAATTTTAGTATATATTTTAGCTCAACTTAAAAAGTCTCAACTGAAGGAAATATATATGGAGGATCATTTGAAAGAAGTACTCGATTTACTCTTCCCAATAATTCTAGTTTTTAATCTATGGCCAAGAAGGACTTTTAATAAACTGAGCTTAAAATCATAAGAATTATGGAATTATTTTGGATTTCTTTTTGACCTAAGTGCCAATGAAAAGCTTTTTTCTTTCCTGAATTATAAGCTTTTTCCTCATAAGTAGTGCAAATTATGGGATGAACTTTATGTCTCAGTTTGCTTTTGCTTCTCCAGATTGTATTCAAAAACATTTTTTTAAAGATTTTTTTTTATGTGGACCATTTTTAAAGTCTTTATTAAATTTGTTACAATATTACTTCTGTTTTATGTTTTGGTTTTTTGGCCGTGAGAAATGTGGGATCTCAGCTCCCTGACCAGGGATTGAACCCTCACCCCCTGCATTGGAAGGCAAAGTCTTAACCACTGGACTGCCACGGAAGTCCCTCAAATTTGAACTCAAGTTTTATAATCCTGTATGGACCTGTTTCTCCATAGCCACATGTCAAATTTCCCCAGGTTCTGACCTTCTTAGCTGTATTTTTCCTCACCTTGATTTTTGATTTAGTTTTTTCCAACTTACTGGTAGGTTAAGGTAACCCACTGCAACCGCATTGTAAAACAATGCAGGAAACAAATAAATGCTTAAAACGTACAAGGGACTTCCATGGTGGCGCAGTGGTTAAGAATCTGCCTGCCAATGCAGGGGAGACGGGTTCGAGCCCTGGTCTGGGAGGATCCCACATGCCGTGGAGCAACTAAGCCCATGTGCCACTACTACTGAGCCTGTGTGCTGCAACTACTGAAGCCCGCACGCCTAGAGGCTGTGCTACGCAACAAGAGAAGCCACTGCAATGAGAAGCCCGTGCACCACAACAAAGAGTAGCCCCCGATCGCCGCAACTAGAAAAAGCCTGCACACAGCAACGAAGATCCAACGCAGCCCAAAATAAATAAATTTAAAAAAAACAACACAACGTACAAGAGAACTGGTCATATCCTCTTCTTCCTTGAAAAGGGCAGAATCTGGAGAACACCAAGCTGAGGAAAGAGAAATAAAAATCTGTTTACTTCAGAGCCCCAGATAAAGGACTAGAGAAATCTTCATCAGCAGCTATAAGATCACCTATAATGATCCTCAGAGCTTTGAGAAATATTAACCACCACCAGGCTACAGAGACACTGAAATGTACATAGATAGCTTGTAATTTAATCATATAGGGTTCTATGGGAATTTCTGGAGGGCTAAGTCTAGGGTGCCCAATGAATCTATTTCCCTAGTTTCCTGCTATTTTATTCCTAATAGGAGATTTTTTTAAGTACATAATAATAAATACCACAAAGATTTAAGGATTAAATTATTTATGAAGCACTGTAAAGAATTTGGAAACAACTTTAATCAGAGACAGGTTACAGGCATTGTGGAACATTCATGTGATGGAATGAAATGCAGTTATAATTCTAAAGACATTTTAAAATAACTTAATTGACTTATTTTTTACCCTAAAAAATTCAGGGCCTTCAGGTTAAAAATGGAAGATTGAATACGTGCATTTATTTCTGTTTTTTCCGAAACACAACCAAAACGAAAGAAACAATCTCACAAGGACAAAGAATACAGATTTTAGCGGAAAAGAGATGTCAACAAAATTCTGAAAGACAGACAGCAAATGACTGGTTTCTAACTTAGAGAAAGATGAAGCTTAAGCGAGGGTGGGGAAACCATGGCAGAACACTTGAAAGGCTCAGGAATGTAGGTATTAGGTACTTCTACAGGCAGGAGTTTGGGGGTGGGGCTGAAAAACAGGGAACTACATACAAGGTGGGGTTGAAGCAATGTAGAGAAAATAAGGGAATTAAGTAAAAGCTGTCAGATTGAAAGATGAAGTGTTCCCCTCAACTTTTTTCCTTCCTTTGCCTCCCAAAAGCAGGAGTCCTGGCTTATACTCCTCAAACAATCTAGGACTTCTTGCTGAGAAAACTGACTAGCTCAAAGGAAAATACATACAGATCCTGACATTTGGTCAACCTTCAACCTCGAACAAAACACCGTATTAGAAATAAGGGCAAGGAGAAGAGTGGGTGGGAGTCGGGGTGGGGTGAGGGTGATGAGGAAGGGGTTAGATAGAAAACAGAGATAAATCTTTATTTCTACTGTCAAAAGCCAATAGGAAATACCTAAAACTGAAATCAAACATTAGCAGTATGAGGATGTTATTCAGGAAAGCAGAGCTGAATACCAGAATATCCAGAAAAAAATGTTCCAAGTAATTGCCTATGGGTAGTGGGAACAGGGTATGGGAAGGAATGGAACAGGAAACTTTTGTTTACAATTATATATTTAACAGCACTTTTAAAAAAATCTAAATGTATTTAAGAAAAATAGGAATTATATTAAAATTTCATTTTAAAAAACAGTTGTCAAGTGAATAAAATAAAAAACGTCAACACGGTCAATAACTTGTAAACTTTCTTGGTAGGAGTACTGAACTTCCTAACCCTTTTTACAGACTCTCTCCTAAACTCTGCCCATCTCTGAGCCACCTCACCTGTCACTTCCATCATCTGGGTCAAATGCTCTGTTGTCACACAGCTACTGCTGATCTCTGAAGGTTGAGATGTCATTCAGGCCTTTCCCACTCTAAACAGAGGGGTTAAGATAGGGTGCACGTCTAGCAATTCCAGGGTCCACTCTATCTCAGGACTCCCCAGCTTCCAGGGAAGGTCTCAGATCAGGAGGTCTCCTTCCATGATAGATACCTGCTCTTCACGGTTCTTTATCCTCACATCACAGATCTGTCTTATCTTTGTGGAGCCAGGACCTGTGGGCTTATGATATAAATCCAATTTACCTGATGCCTTTTCACTGGATCCCTATGGGAACCAGCCTCCAAGGTGGCCCCCAATGATCGTTGTCTTCTGGTATTCATGTCCTTCATACACCCCTCCCACACTGAATAGAGTTGACCTGCATAATCAATAGGATCTTGCAGAAATGACAGTGTGTGACTTCCAAGGTTAGGTCATAAAAGATATGGTTTCTGTCTTGCACATTTTTGCATCACGCACTTTGAAGGAAGCCAGCCACCTTGCCATGAAGACACTCAAAAAGCCTTAGGAAGAGGCTTGTGCCAGCAGCCAACACCAATTTGCCAGCCATCTTCGAAGCAAATCCTCCAGTCCCCATTAGCCTTCTGATGACTGCAGCCCTGCCAGCAATTGACTGCAACTTCATGAAATACCTGAGCCAGAATACCCAGCTAAGTCACTCTCCACTCCCAAAAAACTGAGATAATAAATGTTTATTGTTGTTTAATATATGTTTATTGTTGTTTAAGCCACTAAATTTTGAGGTACCTTATTACACAGTAATAGATAATTAATACAGTCCCAAAGAATTAGCTTCCTTGCTTGTAATTCACAGTCCCTGGAGTCACTGACCAGAGATGCTGAGACAGCAGGAGTCTGGAAGAAAACTCAAAGACTCAGCAACTCAGGTTGAACCAATAAAAACACCAAGAGTCTAGAAACAAAGTGAATACAATAGTGATTTTCACATAATATCTGCTCCTCAAATATCTTTTGTGAGCATAAAGGTGTAGGCCTGATGCAGTGACAGATATAAAGCTGAGTCAAAAACATTCAGATTTTCAGCAACCCCAGATTTGGTGTGAAAGAGAGGTGCATTAAAAGTCCAGCTATTCCATTTCCTATCTATCTTGAAAATTGAGATAAATGAGAGTTGTAACATAGAACTCCCATACTCGTCATTTGAAATGAGAATTATACTCATGTCACAGTGACATTGCCACATGACATTAATTTATCATCTATGGTAAAAAAAAATGATACACAAGAGAGTAGACTAATCCTTACTCTTAATGACAGAAAAGAAATAATAAAACAGAAAACATTCAATTATAATAAATTTTGAGAAGTGTTATGCTTGGGATATACTCCTACTGTCCCTCACACAGTTCCTATTTTTTTCGAATGGCAAATATCACTAACAAATTATATAATTTATCATGCATATTGTCTTTCCACCCCCTCATATAAAATACATGAAAACAGGGATTTATTTTTGTCTTTTTGCCACTGATAGTAGGTGCTCAAAAAATATGTTGATAAACTGGTATAGCCACTAGGGGAAACAGTATGGCAGTCAAAAAATTAAGAAAAGAATTATTATATGATCCATAAATTCCACTTGTGGATATATACCTAAAAGAACTGAAAGCAAGGTCTCGAACAGGTATTTGTACACACGTTTGTAGCAGCATTATTTGCAATAGTCAAAAGAAACAAACAATCCAATTGTCCATTGACAGATAAATGGATAAACAAAACGTGGTATATACAATCAATGAAATATTATTCAGCCTTAACAAGGAAGAAAATTCTGTCACATGCTTTAACATGGATGAACCTTGAGGACATTATGCTACATTAAATAAACCAGTCACAAAAGGACAAATACTGTAAAATCCGGTACACGGAGTACATAATGAGGTAAAGTCAAATTCATAGGGACAGAAAGTAGAATGGTGGTTGTCTGGAACTGGGGGGCTGAAGGAATGGGGAGTTATTGTTTAATGGGTACAGTTTCTGTCTTGCAAGATAAAAGGAGTTCTATGGATAAACAGATGGTGATGGTGGCACAGCCATTATGGATGTAATGCCACTGAACTGAACACTTAAAAATGGTTGGTAAGATGGTAAAATTTTTGTGTATTTTTTTTGTCTTTATTGAGGTATATCTGATACACAAAAAAACTGCACAAATCTAATGTATATATCCTGATCAGCTTGGACATATGCATACATCTGTTAATACCAATACTATAACCAAGGTACTAAACATATCCATTACCTCCAAAAACTTCCTTGTGTTTTGTGGTTTTTTTCCAGTAAGAACAGCTAACATGAGATCTACTCTCAACATATTTTAAAGTGCATAATACCACTTTGTTAATATAGGTACTATGTTGTACAGGGCTCTAGAACTTATTCATCTTACATAACAGAAACTTTGTACCCATTGGAAAACAATTCCCCATTTCCCTCTCTCCCAGCCCCTGGCAACCACCATTCTACACTCTGCTTCTTTGAGTCTGGTTATTTTCAATACCTCATGTAAAAGAATCATGTAGTATTTGTCCTGTAACTGGCTTATTTCATTTAGCATAATGTCCTAAAGATTCATCCATGTTGTCACAAATGGCAGGATTTCCTTCTTTCTTAAGGTTGAATAATATTCCAATGTACATATATGCCACATTTTCTCTACCCACTCATCTGTTAATGGATAGATGTTTCCATATCTTGGCTATTGTGAATATTGTTGCAAGAACGTAGGGATACAGATATTATGATAGCAAATTTTATGTCATGTGTTATGTTATCTCTATTTTACCACAATTAAAAAAAATACACACACACAGAGTGTACCCTTGAACAACACGGGTTTGAACAGTGTGGGTCCACTAACAGGCAGATTTTTTTTTCAGTAAATACATACTACAGTACTACTACACGATCTGAGGTTGGTTGAATCTGCAGCTGCAGAACCTAGGATACAGAGGGCCAACTGTAAAGTTCTACTTAGATTTTTGACTGCAAGGGGTGGGGAGGGAATCGGACCCCCACGTTGTTCAGAGGTCAGCTGTACATATTGAGCAAATGAATAAATACTAATTTGGGGTAATTAAAATTAGAAGAAAGCAAAATATCAGATAAGAATAACATAGAAATGGGTGGGTAGTTTGGAGTTGGCAAGTGTTCTAAAATCTTATTTAAGTTAGGATTTTGTTAAACATGCATGTTAAAAATTCAATAAGAGGGCTTCGCTGGTGGCACAGTGGTTAAGAATCCGCCTGACAATGCAGGGGACACGGGTTCGAGCCCTGGTCCAGGAAGTCCCACACGTCACGGAGCAACTAGGCCCATGCACCACAACTACTGAGCCTGTGCTCTAGAGCCCACGAGCCAAAACTACTGAAGCCCGCATGCCCTAGAGCCCATTCTCTGAGACAAGAGAAGCCACTGCAATGAGAAGCCCGCGCACCACAACGAAGAGTAGCCCCCACTCACCACAACTACAGAAAGCCCACGCGCAGCAACAAAGACCCAACGCAGCCAAAAATAAATAAGTTAATTAATTAATTAAAAAAAAATTCAAGGATAAGAAATCAAAGCATTGGAGAAAGAAATGGGGATAAGGTAAACCTGCACAATAAAAAAGAAGGCATAATAGAAGATAAAACAAATTTTTATCAGCAATCACAATAAATGTAAATGAATTAAACTCACCTATTAAAATAACAGTCAAACAGGATAAAAAGGGGAAAAGCCCAGCAATATGCTCTTAACAAGAGACAGACCTGAAGTATAAAGACATAAAGGGAAGGGGTTGTTAAATGAAATTCCTGGAAAATACAATAACAAAACACGAAAAGCAATATTATCAGACAAAAGAGAACATGGACCAAAAGACATTCACCAGGATAAAGAGGCATGTTTCTTACTGTCGTAGATTGGAATCTTGGTCCCAATGTTTCACCCCCTTCTAAGAGGATTACACATTCACACTTTTTGCCATTTAACTTTGCCTTGCCCTCTGACTGGGTGTAATTAATGTTACACTTAGGCACCTGAATAGCTCTGGCTAACCTAATATTAGTATACTTGGGAGCAGAGGTTTTTAAGGGTGTTTTTATGATCAGTCTTGCACTCTGGTGATCCACCAGGAGAAGAACACGTCCTGGTAACTACTGTCCTTTTAGCCTGAGCTGCAGAAAGAACACATGTGGAGCAGGTTTGAATCGATTCTGCAGTCCAGCCACCCAGGCAAGCCCAGCCTAGATAAGCTGAACACAGAACCTGCAAACCTGTGAACAAGAGAATAAATGCTTGCTGTTTCATGCCACTGAGTTTAAGAGTGGTTTGTTAGGCAGCATTATTATGGTTACAATAACTAATACATATAATAAAAGAAGACACAGGAAGATGAAATAATAAATCTGGAAAAGATCACCAAGGGAAACTGGAGAGCAACAGAACCGGGCCAAGAACTGCTGCGGGAACAAAAGGGCAGCAAAGAGGACTAAGAAAGAGTAGCTACTGGGGAGGAAAGACCACGTGAAACCAAATACAGAAAATTTTTTCAAGCGGTTACCAATTATGCCAAAGGCTACACAAACGTCAAATGTGGTAAGACAAGAACCACTACACATATCACAATTGCAAACACCTCCACACTCACACACACTGCACATCTACCTGACAATCACAGACAACACCACACACATTATCATAAATCACAATTACAAACATCACCATGACACAAATATCCCATCACAATTACTCCACCACACTCAACACAACCACACCCCCATCACTGTCGCATCATCACAATCACATACACACAGGATCACAACCTCACAGACCATCATAATCACACACACACAAACGCTCCACCAGTTTCTTGTTCTAACAACTCCAGCCACGCTCCAGGAGCGTACTCCCACCCCAAGCATTCTGCACTGCCACTACTCCAGATCCTCGGGGCCTCCTTAAAGGCTCCGCCCCGTCAGCGGCGCGCGCTGGTTCAGCCCAGATTGCTTGAGGCCCTCCTTCAAGTCCCGCTCCGGGGACGCGGTAGCGTCACCTGCCGGAAACGCCCGAGTGCGCATCTAGCGCACAGTTTCTGGGAGGCTGGGTGAAGGTGACACGCACGATGTCCCGGGCCAGGCGCCGGTAATGCCGAACCAAGCCTCCGCGCCCGCCTCCCAACGGAAGTTCCACCACACAACAGCTCCCAGAAGCCCTCGCGGCCCGACTCAACTTCCGGCCAGAACGGAGCAGGAGTTTCCTGTGTGAGGGAGGCGGGTGAGCTAGGTCTGTTCTGGTGGCTGAGCCCAAGCATGCCGAGTTACCGCGAACTGCAACTCTGAGACCTGGCGAAACTCTGAGAGTTGCAGGAGCGGTCATTTCGGTTGGACCCAGCGAGGGCGCTGAGAGGAATCGGCTGTGGGGCTCGCAGTGGACCACATTTCCCAGAGGGCCCGGTGGCCCGTCGCTTTTCTCGCGGGAACTCGAACTTTTCATCACGCCTGGCGGGAGCGTTCGATCCTTGAGGTGAGATCGTGGGCCCCTGGGGGAGCTGGTTCAGCACTGCAGGTTCGGACCCCCGGGGACCCGAAAGCCCTAAGTTGAGGAGACCGGAGGCCGATATGGAGCTCGGTAGTTGGGCCGGTGTGGGCGGAGCGGCGTGAGAAGGGGGAGGTTATGCGACCCGTGTGCAGATAAGGATGCCTATCATTGTGGAATTGTGACTGTGTCCCCCTATGGTGATGTGTGCTTGTGACTCCATGACACTGGGGTACCTGCGACTGTGCGAGTGTATGTATTCCGTGTTGAATTTGCGATTGTATCTGTGATACCGTGTTTGGCTCTGTGTGCGGATGTGGAGTGCGTGTTCCCTTGTTCTAAGAATGACTGCTTAAGGTATGTGGCACTGTGTGCATGGGTATGAGGCTCCTGTCAGCTGTGCGATTGTTACTCCAGAACTCTGTCTTTAGGAAATCTTTGTGAGGTTTGGTTAGATTATTGACTTCAACAGCAGTAACCTCAGCTTTCTCCTGAGACACTGGGATTGGACGGGACGCCCCATTCCTCTGATCTCATTCCCTTTATGTGCAGGGGGATGGGGATGGGGCTGACCTGTGACCTGACCAGTTTGAGCAACAAGAAAAACCTGGTGTCTTACGATGACTTTCTACTTTCCAAGTTCTCTCCTTCTCCAGGTGAGGCGCAGAAGAGAAGGAAACAATGCATGCTGAACTTCTACAAGCAGTTTTCAGGGTATGTTGGGGTTTCCTCTATTCTTTCGTTCTTCTTAAAGTTAATGCTTAATAAAGATGCCGTTTGATTATAGGTTCCTATAATTTTCCCACTGGAGAAAAGGATAGTTGAGCCTGCTACTGAAGCACAATAACTCCCATATACCTAATGTTTATTTATTTGGAAAATGGCTCTACTTCTGTTTGCCATGTTTTCTTCTTTTTTTTATATTTTATTTTTAAAATTTTTTTAGATTTTTTTTTTTGATGTGTACCATTTTCCAAGTCTTTATTGAATTTGTTACAATATTGCTTCTGTTTTATGCTTTGGTTTTTTGGCTGCAAGGCATGTGGCATCCCAGCTTCCCCACCAGGGGTCGAACCCACACCCCCTACGTTGGAAGGCAAAGTGCCAACCACTGGACTGCTAGGGAAGTCCCAAGTTGTCTTCTTTTTAAATGCAATATTTATTATGACTTTAAAATAAAAGCATGATTATTTTAGAGAAATAATGAAATGAGACCACTCAAATAACTAGTGTTAATATTTTGGTGTATTTTCATTATTTTTCCAAAAATCAGATTATGCTTCATTTACCATTTTATATCCTACATTTTCACTAAAAAGTATCATTCTCCTATGTTGTCAGATGATCTTTGTAAGTACCATTTTTCAAAATACACTTTTTTTTGTGAATGAGTTATGGTTTATTCGTCAGATGAGTTGTGTCAGACATGAAATCTTTCAACACTTATTTAAAATATTTATTTGTACAAACACACGTATACATAGATGCACGTAGGTTTGAGTTACGATTTCCATGATTAATAATGAGATTGAACACCATTTCATATGTTTATTGGTTATCAGGGTTTCTTCTTTTGTGACACACCTGTTGAAATCTTTATTTTGCTCTTGGATTATCTTTTTTTTAATATATAAATTATTTATTTATTTTATTTTTGGCTCCGTTGGGTCTTCACTGCTGCACACAGGCTTTCTCTAGTTGCGGAGAGCTACTCTTCGTTGTGGTGCACGGGCTTCTCATTGCGGTGGTTTCTCTTTGTTGCAGAGCACGGACTCTAGGCGGGCAGGCTTCAGTAGTTGTGGACTGCGGGCTCAGTAATTGTGCCTCGCAGGCTCTAGAGCTCAGGCCTCAGTAATTGTGGCTCATGGGCTTAGTTGCTCCGTGGCATGTGGGATCTTTCCAGACCAGGAACCTGTGTCCCCTGCATTGGCAGGCGGATTCTTAACCACTGCGCCACCAGGGAAGTCCCTGGATTATCTCTTATTGATTCATGGGAATTCTTTATATTTTCTGGATATGGATCCTTTATTGATTATATTTTTCTACTATTTGGATTGCTTTATCACTTCCCTTAAGGTAGTTTTATGAATAAAATCTCAATTTTTTCATTATATATATTTTTTATTTTTGGCTGCGTTGAGTCTTTATTGCGGTGTGCAGCTTCTCATTGCTGTGGCTTCTCTCGTTGCAGAGCACGGGCTCTAGGCACGCGGGCTTCAGTAGTTAACAGAGTGGGCTCTAGGGCACACAGGCTTCGGTAGTTGTGGTGCGCAGGCTCAGTAGTTGTGGTGCACAGGCTTAGTTGCTCTGCAGCATGTGGAATCTTCCTGGACCAGGGCTCGAACCGTGTCTACTGCATTGGCAGGCGGGTTTTTAACCATTGCACCACCAGGGAAGTCCCCCTAATTTTTTATCAAATTTTTTTCCTTTGGTGGTATCTTTTTGTATCTTATTTAGGAAATCCTTCCCTGTCCCAAGGTTATGTAAATATTCTATATATTTAAAGCGATAATCCCATTTATTTACTTAACCTATTTCTAATTATTCTAGCTCCTCATTTGAGGTAATTTGACTTTTCTTCCTCTGGCTGTTTTTAAGACTTTCACTCTGTTTTTGGCTTTCTGTAACTCAAGTATGATGTACCTAAATGTGCATTTCTTTTTATTTATCTGCTTGGAATTTGTTAAGGGTTTTTAAATTTGTGGATAGGTATTCAGGAATATCCTCAGCCATCTTCAAAGATTGCCCTGCCTCACTCTCTCTCTTCTTCTTAGGCTCTAATTATACATAGGTTATAATTTCTCTCCTTTTTTTTTTGGTCTATTACTCTCTTTTTGGTTTTTAGAATTAATACTTGTAGCTAAAATCAAAGCAATATTAGGCAAAAGAGCTTTGCCTTGTTTCAGGACAGGAGTGGAGGGCATGGCAGGTAGCTAGAGTTTTGGGGTTCTTCCTCTAACTGGTAGAAAAAATTATCTTTATTCAGTTATGTTTCAACACTTCTAATCTTGGTGAGCTCACCAAATCATAAGGCTCTCAGTTCACTTTATGATTCTCATATCTGAAAATTAGAGTGTACCAAGGTAAAGGACTCAGAATAGGGATTGTGTTTTCTGAAGGTATAAATTGGGAGCTGAAACTAAATTTGGAACTCTCAATTTTAAAAATGTGTGTTTGGTACAGAGGCAAAGAACACCAGGATGAGAATCAGTCTCCCCAAATCTGTTCAGTTTAAGGCCTTTCTATCTGAATTTCTTCGGGAAAGGGCTAAGTCTTTCTAATCCATTCTCCTGTGCCGAAGCCCAAACAGAGCATCTGGTTCCCCTCCCCCATCAACCTCTAATTACACTCGCCATCTCTGTAATGAAGATTATCGCCCAATATTAATGGGAGTAACTCTAGGGACGTAGTATACTGTAGTGGAAAATAAATTTTAAAAGGAATAAAATGAATTTTGTTCTTAGAAGCTAACCTAATGTTTAATCAGGAAATATCTGAAACATTTCAGGTAAAATCAGAAAAAGACAAGGGTATACAGCAACAATGTTATTTAACATTGTTCTGTAGGTATTAACCAAAGCACTTAGACAAGAGGAAAAATTAGGTTAAAAATTAGAAAAGAGAGTGTAAGATTATTACTTTCTGCAGATGCTATGACTGTGTACCTGGAAAATCAAATCAACTTATAACCAACACTTTGAAATAAGCAGGACTCCATAGGGAGCAAGCAAAAGAATTTTTTTCCCCCTATAATTTCCACTCTCAACTCTATGGCTAATGTTTTTGTTGCCCTGAATAAAAGCTTGTGTAGTCCCTATAATTGTTTTGATCACTCTTTGGTATTCTTTGGTTATTTTCAGTCACAAGATCAGTCTCATTTTACTAATTACAACCTCTAATTGAGTATAATAATGTGCAAATTTCATTTAAAGCCTTTTCTCTGAGCTCAGGCTTGCTTCAGGCTAGAAGCTTACAGTGTGAAAAGGGGGACCTACTAAGCTGCTTTGTTTCTTTAATCTGAACTCCTCTTCTTTGTTCAGTAGTCAGTTTCTTTACTATAGTCCTCTATCCTCCTGTTCTAGGTGTTGCTCTCTAGGTCTGCTCTCTAGGTCTAGATATTGTTCGGGGACTTGCCTTTTACAATTATACTGGACTTTGTTCACCATTCTCATGTTAGTTTTCTAGTTTCAGAATATAATACCTTTCATTTTCTTAATTTACTCTCTAGTTTTTTTTTTTTGTTTTTTTTTTTCCTTGCGTTATGCGGGCCTCTCACTGTTGTGGCCCCTCCCATTTGCGGAGCACAGGCTCCGGACGCGCAGGCTCAGCGGCCATGGCTCACGGGCCCAGCCGCTCCGCGGCACGCGGGATCCTCCCGAAACGGGGCACGAACCCGCGTCTCCTGCATCGGCAGGCGGACTCTCAAGCACCGCGCCACCAGGGAAGCCCCCTACTCTCTAGTTTTGATGGAACACTTAGGCCAGTAGCTTCCTAAGAAAAGCTAGACAGGAGATAATTTAACATTCATTCTCTGTGGTTCTACAATTGTCTTTTTCTTTTTTTGCCGCATCACATGACTTGTGGGATCTTAGTTCCCCAACCGGGGATCGAACCCACGCCCCCTACATTGGAAGTGTGGAGTCTTAACCACTGGATCGCCATGGAAGTCCCTAGAATTGTCTTGATTTAATCGTCACACTAACTTGGTATTTAATCTTTCTTTTTTTTTTAATGGGTTTTAAAAATTGTTTTATTTGGGAAAAGTGCGCCTTACAAGAGGGCAGCTGCAAAATACAGAGACGTCTGCAACAATTACTTGTTTGTGCTTAAAGTGAAAGAATGAGTGGTATCCAAGGAATCAAAGCAGTAGGTGGACAAATCAGGAGCATCTCCAAGTTATTTTCAGGAAATAGAACAACAAAATGCAAAGCCATAATTTCCGATCAAGGAATTCTTCTAAGAATTTAGCTTATCTTGTGGATTACCACCCTTCCGTCCCGTTTTAGTGGAAAAGCATGACTTGCCATTGCAAACCAATTTTGGTATTTAATCTTGTTTCGTATATAATCTTCATACTAGCTTTGGCTGTGTGTGGAATTCTCGGCCAGAATTTTTTGTCTTTTGTAATATTAAAGGAATCACTTCATTTTCTTATTTTAAATGGTGCTGTTGAGAAATCCATTGCCATTCTGATTCCTGAAAATTTTTATGTGATCCACAGAAGCTTTTAGAAAGTTCTGTTTTTCCCTGATATTCTGAAATTTTACTCCAAAATATAATGTTTTTTTTTTTTTAAGTCCATCACATTTTTCCCTCTCTTGGGGCTTAAAGGGAACATGGGAAGGAATTCTCATTTATGCAGACTTTACTGTGGCCAGGCACTGAACTGCATGCTTGCTATTTCATCTCATTGGAAAAGTCCACTCTGTTTGCACATTCCTATACATACCCCTCTGTATATAGGAGATATGTCTTGACTTATATTGATTTAATCGATTCCAGCTCCTTCAATTTGATTAATAATCTCTGTCCTTTTATGTAGAGCTCTCTACCACTTCATCTACTATCATCTTTTTCTTCTCTCTTTCCATTGTGAAAGCATGTTTGTTGTTTCAGGGGTCAGTGATGTTCAGGGATGTGTCTATAAACTTCTCTCAGGAGGAATGGGAGTGCCTGGACTCTGGTCAGATGAATTTATACAAAGAAGTGATGTTGGAGAATTTCAGCAACCTGGTTTCAGTGGGTAAGGATAACTATCCCCCCAAATTCAGAGTCTACCCTTGGGAATGTGTCCTTTCTCCATTGTGAATTACACATTTCAAGTAACCAGCGAAATTTCTGCACTCTGTTCCCCAAGGAATGGTTGAGTTGGAATGGAATGCAAGAGTTGGAAATGGGCAGCTCCACTGGGCTGTGGCTGAAGCTTCATCTTCATCTTTCTCTGGTCCTCCCCTACAGGGGCATCTCTTTCTTGATCACCAAGGGACCGGATCTGATTTCTGGGACACCAACAGCATAACCATGTCCCATGTCTTTTCTTGTGATCAGGACTTTCCAGTTCTAAGCCAACTGTGATCTCCTTATTGGAACAAGGAAAAGAGCCCTGGATGGTTGACAAAGAGCTGACGAGAGGCCTTTGTTCAGGTAAGTGAGAGGTGACAGAGCAGGAGCAGAGCCTGAGGAGGTATTACCTATATAAGATGTTATCAGAAAATTCCCCTCAAAAACCCAAGCCCTCTTCCATAAAAGAGGTATCTTGCTTTTCTTCTCTTATACTTTATTCCCAGTCCAATGTAGCAAGTACCTTCCTTTGTCATTTCTAAGAGTTATTCTACCCACCTTTTAGATTTCATTCTTTCATAGGATCTGCTGCATTTAGACTTGTATTAACAGTAGATATTCCCACCCTAAGAAGTGTGTGTATGTTGTGTGTATGTGTTCCAATACTGGTTTTCATTTTATTGACTTTCCAAGTGTTTGTTAACTTCATTAACCAGGTTGTCCTGGATAGTAGTTCATTGTTTCATTTATCAAACATTTGATTTTTTTTTCCATTAAAAAAAATTCAGATATAACGTGCATATGGAAACTACATGAGTGATTGTATAGTGTGAAGAATTACAAGTGAATGCATCCATGTAACCACCACTTCAGACAAGTAATAGAAAATTACTAGCACCTTAGAATCCTTTCTGCCCTTTCCCAATCACTAGCCTCTTTGTCCTCCTCTTGACTTCTAACTCCGTGAAATAATTTTGCCTTTTTCTGAGCTGATTATAAGTGGAATCATACAGTATTTATACTTTTGCCTTTGTTTTGTCTCAACTTTATGTTTATGGGACACATCATCCATGTTATTGCATATAGCTGATGTTCATTCTCAGTGCTATGCTGTATTCCATTCTATGAATATATTTTATAGTGTGTATTATATATTGCTAATTATTATAAATAAGTCCTTTCTACTATTGACCGTTGGGTTGTTTTCCAGTTTTTAGCTATGTGAACATTCCTTTGGTGCATATATGTACACATTTCTTTTGGGTATATACTCAGGAGTGGAATTACTGGTAATAGGATATGTGTTGGTTCAGTTTTAAAAGATAATGCCAGTTTTCCAAAGTGGTTGTACCAATTTATACTTCCACTAGCAGTGTGAAAGTTGCTGTTCCTCTGCATTCTTGCCAGTTCTTTTTTTTCTTTTTAAATAAATTTATTTATTTATGGCTGCGTTGGGTCTTCATTGCTGCGTGTGGGCTTTCTCTAGTTGCTGCAAGCAGGGGCTACTCCTTGTTGCAGTGCGTGGGCTTCTCAATGCAGTGGCTTCTCTTGTTGCAGAGCACAGGCTCTAGGCGTGTGGGCCTCAGCAGTTGTGGCTCGCAGGCTCCAGAGAGCAGGCTCAGTAGTTGTGGCCCACGGGCTTAGTTGCTCCATGGCATGTGGGATCCTTCCGGACAAGGGCTCAAACCTGTGTTCCCTGCATTAGCAGGCGGATTCTTAACCACTGCGCCACCAGGGAAGCCCTTGCCAGTTCTTGATATTGCTAGACCTTTTAGTTTTAGACATTCTGCGGGTGTGTGTGTGTGTGTATGTTCTGTGACTTGCCCATTTAAGTTTCTTGCTTCTATTCATTAGGTTGTCTTCATTTTTCTTAGTGATTTGAAGGAGTTTTTTGTATATTCTGTATATGAGCCTTTGTAAATATCATCTACCACTCTATAGCTTACTTTCTTATTCTTTTAGTGCTGTATTTTGATTTTATTAATTTTAAGTAGTCAGGCTTATCTATCTTTTCCTTTATAGTTGTTGCTTTTTGTGTTCTGTGTAGGATTCATTGCCTACCCCAAAGTTATGAAGATGCTTCCTGTGTTATATTCTAATAGCTTTATTGTTTTACCTTTTACATTTAGATCTCCAGTTTCCTGGAGCTGATATTTGTATATAGTATGAGGTAGGGGTCAAATTTCATTATTTTTCCACGTAAATATCCAATTGACCAGGCAATGTTTACTGAAAAGACTTTTTCCCTCTCTCTATAATGCTACCTTTGTCATAAATCATGTGTTGCCGTATCTGTGAGTCTGTCTCTGAACTTTATTCTGTTCCATTGGCTTGTCTACCTTTGTCCCAGTACCACACTATAATAGTACTGTAGTCTATAATAAGGCTTATTATCTGGCAGAGCAAGTTCTCCTGCTGCTTCTTCTTGATAATTTTCATATAAATTTTACTTTATTGTATTATAATTATTTTTCATAAATTTATTTATTTATTTTTGGCTGCGTTGTGTCTTTGTTGCTGTGCACAGGCTCCTCACTGCGGTGGCTTCTCTTGTTGCAGAGCACAGGCTCCAGGTACACGGGCTTCAGTAGCTGTGGCTTACGGGCTGTAGAGCGCAGGCTCAGTAGTTGTGGCACACGGGCTTAGTATCTCCGTGGCATGTGGGATCTTCCCAGGCCAGGGCTCAAACCCATGTCCCTTGCATTGGCAGGCGAATTCTTAACCACTGTGCCACCAGGGAAGTCCTTATATAAATTTAAGAATCAGCTTATTAATATTCACACACACATAAAAATAACTGCTGACATTTTGATTAAGGTTAAAATAAAGTTATACATCAGTTTCTGGAGAATTAACATTTTGGAACAGTCTTCTAAAAAAGTTTGATTTTTTAATTTGTGCAAGTAGTCTGCTAGGTGCTACATAGTTTAAAAAATATGTAGACTTATTAAGAAATTCATTGTTTAATGTGGGAGCTAGAACATTTCTGTAAATAATTTCTACAAAGTAGAATTCAGCAAACAAGAAGAACAAATAGGAAGCTGAGAAAAAAGTTATAAAACAGTCAAAAAATGCAGAAGTGGTATTGATTCAAGTAGAAATTAATTGTTGGATCCTTGGAAGTAGATGTAACCTATCGAGACAGTGATAGAAATAGACCATGCCTCCATTGAGAGAGAATTCTGGATTCAACAAAGCTCTAGGAACCTAGGCAAGAATTTGTGAATCTCCTTCCTTGCCCTCCGTAGGTCTCAGCTAGCCTTAAATATTTTATAAGCAGGGATCCAGAATTGTTTTCCTCCATAAATTGAATCATTTTCCTCTCTATCATCTGTAAAAGAATTGAGCTTTCTTCATTGATTTCTTGTGCCATCTTTATTGGATAATAAATTCGCATATATAAGTCTTTCTCAGCACTCTATTGTCTTGTTATGGTATAATGCCAGTATGAGTGTCTTTATTTCTTTGGCTTGTATTTTTTAATATCTAATATCACCTTCTTATTTTTCAGATCCAAGGTTTACTTAGCCTCTGGAGTATTTTTGCTTTTTTTGTTTTTATTTCCCTGTGTCTCTCTTATTGCTTTTCCTCCCTACCAACTTGCTTACTCACTCCCTTCTCTATCTTTCCTTGACCCCATACTTTTCCACATGGTCTCTGTTTATTCTTTTTCCACTATTTTATAATTAATTAAATAGTATTAAATATATAATGTGAAAGGTAAAACTATTATTTAAAAAGGAAATTTTTTAATATTTAAACTTTTTAAAGAGAAAATCTTTGTGAAAAACAGACAAAGAAAGATAACTTACCTCAAACTCCAAAAGTAGGAGCACAAAATCTACCTCAAGGAAGTTGTCAGCAGAAACCTGGATAGCGGTGGAGAAGAGTTTAGGCCCAGTGGCGACTATGGAAGCAAGCAGCAGCAATGGGAAAGGGCAAGGGGCTCGAGACCTCAGTTACCTTTTACCGATTGGAGGAGGTGGCAAAGCACAACTCCCTGAAGGAGATATGGCTGGTGATCCACGGGCAAGTCTGTGATGTCACCTGCCTCCTTAACGAGCATCCTGGTGGAGAAGTGGTTCTGCTGGAACAAGCTCATGGAGATGCATCTGAAAGCTTTGAAGATGTAGGCCACTCGTCTGAGACCAGAGAAGTGCTCAAGCAGTACTATATTGGTGATGTGCCTCTGAATTACTTTAAACCTGGAAGTGGGGGACTTCCCTGGTGCTCCAGTGGGTAAGACTCTGTGCTTCCAATGCAGGGGGCCCGGGTTCGATCTCTGGTTGGGGAACTAGATCCCACATGGATGCCTCAACTAAGAGTCCATGTGCTGCAACTAAGAAGCCCTCATGCATACCATAACTAAAGATCCCATGTGCTGCAACTAAGACCCGGTGCAGCCAAAATAAATAAATATTTTAAAAACAAACAAACAAAGAAACGTGGAAGTGGTAGCAAGGACCCTCCAAAAAGCAACACGTGCAAAAGCTGCTGGTCATATTGGATCGTCCCCATCATAGGCCATGTTCTCTTAGGTATTCTGTATCGTTACTACACAGTGGAGAGCTAATCCTCCCAAGGAGACCTTGTTGAAATCTGAAAAGCATATCCACTTGGGAATGAGAACTAGAGACTTGTTTGGAGGTTGAAGCAGTGCCTTCTCAAATCCTGCTAATTGTACTCTTACCCTTCAGAACCCAGACTGTTGGCCAGATATTCACCTCAGCCCTGGGCCAATGTCCAAGTCATTTCTTAGAGCCTTACTCTCAAAGCACCTGCTCTTTGTTCTGTGTCCTTGCCGTTGTTCCCTCTCTTTATTATTTTCCATGGGCACCTTTATGTTTCAAAGTTTCTTTTGTAATTATGGTCCACATGTCCTAGTGACATTGCCCTTTGGTAAAATTGCTTTCCAATACTTTGAATGCATATTAGACATACTTAACAGGGCATCACGCTCTGGTTTTGAAGCTTTTCTTTTTCCCTTTTTCTTTTAAGTAAATATTGTTAAAAATAAATAAATAAATAAAACTCCAAAAGTACAAACCATACAGCAAAAACATGAACTGGAAATACATCAGAATTAAGGATTTCTGCTAAATGAAGGACACAATAGATAAATTTAATGCACAGTAGACTAGAAGATACTTGCTAATTAAGAGGAAGTAGTTAGTGGCCCCAATAAAAATACCAATAAAGGTTAACAAGACTAAAATGCTAATAAGCCTACCAGATGTTCATACTTATTAATAATTAGAAATGCAAATGAAGGCAATAATGAAATATCACTTTTCACTTACTAGGCTAGGAAAGTAGAAAGCTGGATAATGACAACTGTGGGTGGGGACAAAGAAATTCTTATGCACTTTTGGTGAAAGTATACAGTGGTGTTGCCTTTCTCTACAGCCATCTGGTACTACTTAAACAGGTATACATATGCCCCACTTTGGGGTATATATCTAAAATTGAAAATAATGCAAAAGGATAAATACTTCATGTCTTTCAAATGTCATACCAGTGTATCATCTATCAGATCCATTCGAGAATTATTTAATTATCTGGGGAAATGTATCATTGTTTCACTTACTATTTACTACTCATTAGGGACCAGGTTCTCTTAAAATTAGATGTTAAATTTAAAAAGATTGATAAGTTGTGAATGATTCGTCTGGTGGAAAAGGTAGCCAAAGGGTATGGTTTTATTATCCTATAACAGAGTAACTCATTTTTATATCCAACTTAGTGATGTTATCCCTGCATTCTTTAGGGTACCATATGAACTCCATCTCTCCTAGATAACTGGAACTAGCTTGATCATTCCTCTGACCCTCTCGTTAATGAGTTAAATAAATCTTTAAAACATGCTTAGCATATTCTGTTTCATTGGTTTATGTGATTGTCTTTATGCCAGTACCATACTGTTTTAACTGCTGTAGCTTTGTTGTATACTTTGAAATCAGAAAGTGTGATACCATTAGCTTTCTTACACTTCCTAAAGATTATTTTTAGCCCTTCCAATTTTTTTTCTATTAATATTTCTGTAAAAAAATGCCATTGGGATTTTTATAGGGATTGCATTGAATCTGTAGATTACGTTTTAACAATATGAACTCTTCCAGTCCACAAGCACGCAATCGCTTTCCATTTAGTGTCATCTTTAATTTCTTCAATGTTTTATAGTTTTCACTGTACAAGTCTTTCATCTCCCTAGTTAAGTTTATTCCTAAGTATTTAATTCCTTTTGATGCTATTATAAATGGAATTGTTTTCCTGATTTCCTTTCAGATTGTTTATTGTTAGTGTATAGAAACACTGTAGTTTTGTATCCTGCAACTGAAAACTAAATTTGTTTAATTCTGACAGTTTTTATGTGGAGCCTTTAGGGTTTTTTCTATGTCATTTTCAAATAGGGACAATTTTACTCCTAAGTTTGTTGAGAGTTTTTAATCATGAAAGGATGTTGAATTTTATGAAATGCTTCTTATCTATTGAGATGATTGTGTGATTTTTATCCTTTATTCTGTTAATGTGGTATATCACATTGATTTTTGTATGTTGAACCATCTTTGCATCCTACGGATAAATCGTAGTTGGTCATGATGTATGATCCTTTTAGTGTGCTGTTGAGAATTTTTGCATTTATATTCATCAGGGATATTGGCCTGTAATTTTCTTTTCTATGACTTCCTTGTCTGGGTTTGGTCTGAGGGTAATTCTGGCTTCATAAAATGAGTTTGGAAGTCTTCCCTGCTCTTCAGTTTTTTGGGAAGAGTTTGAGAAGGATTGGCATAATGTGTGGTAGAATTCACTAGTGAACCTCCCAGCAAAGAAGAGCCTAGGCTTTTTATTACTAATTCAGTCTCCTTACTAGTTATAGACTTTCTATTTAGACTTTCTGTTTCTTCATGACTTTCTATTTTTTCATGATTAAGTCTTGGTAGGTTATATGTTTCTAGGAATTTTTCCATTTCCTCCAGTTTATCCAGTTTCTTGGTGTATACTTGTTCATAGTATTCTCTTACGATAGTTTTTATTTGTTACATCAGTTATAATGTCTCTTTTATTTCTGATTTTATTTGAGTCTCCTCTCTTTTTTTCTTAATCTAACTAAAAGTTTGTCAATTTATCTTTTCCATAAACCAACTATTAGTTCCATTAATCTTTTCTGTTGTTTTTCTATTCTCTATTTCATTTATCTCTGCCCTAATCTTTATTATTTCCTTCCTTCTGCTAACTTTGGGTTTAGTTTGTTCCTTGAAATGTAAAGTTAGGTTGTATATATGCGATTCTTCTTTTTCAATGTAGGAACTATAAAATTCCCTCTTCATATTTTTCTGCATCCCATAAGTGTTTTTGTTTGTCTAAAGATATTTTCTAATTCTTTGGGCCATTGGGTGTTCAAAAGTGTGTTTTTAATTTCCACATATTTGTGAATTTTCCAGTTTTCCTTTTGCTGTTGATTTCTAGTTTTAGTTTTGTTCCACTGTAGTCAGAAAAGATACTTGATATGATTTCCATCTTAAATTTCTTAAGACTTATTTTGTGAACTAACATGTGATCTATCCTAGGGAATGTTCCATGTATGCTTGATAAGAATATATTATGCTGCTGTTGAATGGAATATTCTATATATGTCATTTAGGTTCATTTGCCCTATGGTATTGTTCAAGTCACTTTTCTTTCTTGACTTACTGTCTGATTGTTCTATCTATTATTGAAAGTAGGCTATTGAAGTGTCCTGCTGTTGTGTTTTTGTCTATGTCTCCCTTCAGTTTTGACAATGTTTGCTTAATATACTTAAGTGCTCTTATATTGGGTGCAGGTATGTTTATAATTGTTATAGCTTCCTGGTGAATTGACTGTTTTATCATTGTATAATATCCTTGTTTGTTTTTGTGACAGCTTTAGCTTAAAGTCTGTTTTAGCTTAAAGTCTGTTTTATCTGATGTAAGTATAGCCACCCTTGCTCTCTTTAGGTTACCATTTGCATGGATTATCTTTTTCCATCCTTCACTTTCAGCCATTATCTGTGTTCTTAAATCTAAAGTGGGTCTCTGGAGGACATCATGTAATTGGATATTGTTGTTTTCTCCATTCAGCCAGTCTCTTTTTATTTGAGAGTTTAATCCATTTACATTTAAAGATATTATTGAAGGATTTACTATTGCCGTTTTGTTCATTGTTTTCTGTTCTTTTTGTAGTTCTTTTGTCCCACTTTTCCTCTCTTGCTGCCTTCCTTTTGTTTCTTTGATATTTGTATTGATATGCTTTGAATCCTTTTTATTTTTCTTTTCTGTAATCTCTATAAGGTATCTTCTTTGTGGTTATCATGGGCTTTCAAAAATATAACAGTATGTTTTAAGTTGATAACAATTTAACTTCAATCACATACAAAAACACTTTTACTTCTCACTACCCACACTTTGTGTTATTGACATTGTACTCTTCTGGTACATAGATATGTTCACCAACCAGGAAGCTTCCCCCAATTCTTGCCAAGTTTTTTACTGGGGGTGTCATTATGTGGGGAGTGGTGACCAGTCCCATCCCTTGAAACTAAAGGTCCATTGTGAATCACCTCCTTATCATAAATTCAGGTATGATCAAAAGGCACTTGTTGTGAATAACAAAAGACAGTCTAGTGGTTTTTGAAGTTCCAGTGGTTTTTGAAGCTCTGCCAGGAACTGGAAACAAAGACCAGATGTATTTTTTTTTTTTTTTTTTGCGGTTCACGGGCCTCTCACTATTGTGGCCTCTCCCGTTGCGGAGCACAGGCTCCGGACGCGCAGGCTCAGCGGCCATGGCTCACGGGCCCAGCCGCTCCGCGGCATGTGGGATCCTTCCATACCGGGGCACGAACCCATATCCCCTGCATCGGCAGGCAGACTCTCAACCACTGCGCCACCAGGGAAGCCCCAGATGTATTTTTTGTATCACAAGTATGTATATTTTCTGTTAATTCTTTCTTCTCAGTTCAGTACCCATGCCCACAGCTATGCTGGATGTTCCTGAGTCCAGATTTTCTCTGGTTCCATTTTTCTAGATTTCTAGTTTTCTGTGAGAATGAACAACTATAATCATCCTGTCCTGTGGGATGGGGAGGAGATACAGTCTTTGAATTCATCCTTCAGCTTTTACTGTTCTCTGCACTCCACTATTAGAAGTGCCTGATGCCTCTAATTCTTGTGCATTTGTAGGGATTTGCCCCATGAATCAGTACTGTGGAATTTACCCACTGTTGGCTCAATTTGATATTCTCCAGTCTGCAGTCACTTATCACTCATCCATTGGCTTTCCAGTTTCCAAGTTTTATTGCTACTGTTTCTTCTCCAGTATCTTTTGTCCTAGTGGGGTTTTCCTTTCCCCTTGTTAAGCTTTTATTATAATTTTCCTGTGGATTCATGAACAAGAATTGGTAAATTTACATATACCGTCTGCCATTTTGAACAGAAAGTATGCCCCCCTTTTATTAAAAATACAATTGACCCTCATTACTCACAGATTATTTATGAATTCACTTACTTCCTAAGATTTATTTGTAAGCCCCAAATTAATGCTTACAGTGCTTTCATGGTAATTAGCAGACATATGCAGAGTGGCAGAAAATGTTGACATGGAGTTCCTGTTTTCTCACAGAGAATGTTTCATTCTTATTCTCTTCTAACTCTCAAGGCTCCTCCCTTCTTAGTAACTGCCATAACTTGAAGATTCCATTTCTCTTTCCCAGCATCAGCATCACAGAATTCCAAGGCAGACTATTTTCAGTGAAACCCCAACATATATGAGGCTCTATTCACAGAAGAAATTTACGTGTCCACCATTCTCACCAGTTTCATTCAGCACCCTAGACTTGTTGAGGGCTGTCCCCCAGTGTGAATTTGCCAACAACATACCCTTTGCTTAGAGTTGCTGACCCTCTCCCACCCCCATTTATACATTTCAACACATTTATTCCTCAGTAGTCCTATAGGTATGTGTACAGTTATCCACAAATAACAAAACATATAGTATGACGCTCTGTGAGTATATGCTTATATAAATATATATATGATTAGAATCACTGTATAATGAGGATGGCCCTGAATAGTGTGGATTCATTGAAGTTGCAGGTGATTCTGATCCACACCAGGATTATAGAGGTCATCTATTTCCCTAATTACCCTCTTCAACTTCCTCTGTTGCTTCTCCTTAATGTCTGTGCTTTTCTTACCAATTTTACAAATTGCCTAGCCATATTTGGGAACTGTCTAAGCATTTACTTTCCCAAATATTTTCAGGTTAATCTTTGCATTTCTTTTTCAGAAGTTTAACCTTTCCCAGCATAGGAAAAATGAGCATATGCCTTTTTATTTTCTTCCAGATCTGGAATCCATGTGTGAGACCAAGTTACTCTCTCTAAAGAAGAGACATTTTAGTCAAGTGATGTTTACCCATGAAGACATACCCACTTTTATTCAGCCCACGTTTCTTATTCCACATCAAAAAACTATTAATGAAGAGAAGCCCTGTGAATGTAAAATATGTGGAAAGGCCTTTAATCAAAACTCACACTTTGTTCAACATCAGAGAATTCATTCTGCTGAAAAAAATTATGAATGTAAGGAGTGTGGAAAATCCTTTAGTCGTGGCTCACTTGTTGCTCGACATCAGAGGATTCACACTGGTGAAAAACCCTATGAGTGTAAAGAATGCGGCAAGGCTTTTAGTTGTAGTTCATATTTTTCTCAACATCAGAGGATTCACACTGGTGAGAAACCCTATGAATGTAAGGAATGTGGAAAAGCCTTTAATTATTGCTCAAACCTTAATGATCATCAGAGAATTCACACTGGTGAAAAACCCTATGAATGTAAAGTATGTGGAAAAGCCTTTACTAAGAGTTCACAACTTTTTCCACATCTGAGAATTCATACTGGTGAGAAACCTTATGAATGTAAGGAATGTGGGAAAGCCTTTACTCAACATTCAAGGCTTATTCAACACCACAGGATGCATACTGGTGAGAAACCTTATAAGTGTAAGGAATGTGAGAAGGCCTTTAGTAGTGCCTCAACACTTACTAACCATCACAGAATTCATGCTGGCAAGAAACTCTATGAATGTAAAGAATGTGGAAAGGCCTTTATTCAGAGCTCAGAACTTATTCAACATCAGAGAATTCATACAGATGAAAAACCATATGAATGTAATGAATGTGGAAAGGCTTTCAATAAAGGCTCAAACCTTACTCGACATCAAAGAATTCACACTGGTGAGAAACCTTATGACTGCAAGGAATGTGGAAAAGCCTTTGGTAGTCGCTCTGACCTCATCCGCCATGAAGGAATTCATATTGGATAAATGATAGACCCTTTTGATAACCTTTATAATAATATATTTTAAAACAGGTAATGCAAAAAATAAACAAAAAATCCCAGATAATGCATGATCACAGTTGCTCTCTGTAGTAGTTTTCTAGGGCTACTATAACAAAGTACCAAGTACCACAAAACTAGGTGGCTTAAAACAACAGAAACTTATTCTCTCAGTTTTTGAGCCTTGAAACCCACAATCAAAGTTGTTGGCAAGGTTGGTTCCTTCTGGGGTTCTGAGGAAGAATCTGTTCCATGCCCTTCTCCTAGCTTCTTGTAACAGCAATTTTTGACATACCTTGGCTTGTAGACGCATTGCTCCAATCTCTGCCTCCATCTCCACACTGTGTTCTCTCTGTGTCTCTTCTCTCATATGGACACTGGTCATATTGCATTAGGGATCACCCTAAGGACCTCATCTTAACTTGATTATATGTGCAAAGACCTTATTTCCATGTAAGATTACATTCACAGATACCAGGTGTTAGGACCTCAGCATATTTCAACCCGTTACACTCTGTTAACACGATTTTTTCTAATGTATTTGTAATTTTATACATAAAGTTAATCAAATGTATTTTAAAATGTGAATTCAAGGTCTAAGTTAAACTCCCTTTTCTCCAAAAAAAGATTCTATCCCAAAACTACTTATTCCATAATTCCTTCCCAACTATTCTCTGTTTTGGTTATATAGTTTGTATTAACTTATGTTTTAGGGCCGTCTTTTCTATATCTGTGGCTTACTGAATTACACTATAAATTGTGTTACATAGGCTATCTTTGAATTCATGGTGGAATTATAATTTTGTTTTTGAAGGCAGCTGTATTCTTCTTTCCTTTTGTAAAATTAATATTTTCTTATTGTAAAAAAAAAAAAAGAGGACACCAAAAAAAAAATAAAGATTATTTGTAAGCCTACCAAACAGAGATGACTACTTCAAATTATCACAACATATCCTTACAGGCTTTATTTAGTGTAATTGTGACATTCATGCTATACCATAACCTGCTTTTATCATGCTACTATTTCAGCAAGTATAGATGTATATGTATCATTCCTTTTAATGGTATCATAAAAATCTTTTCTGTGGTTGACTTATCATTTTGCTAAATAACTACCGATAAACGTTTTGGTGCCTGTTTAAACTTTGCAGTTATAAAAGTTGCCTTCTAGGGCTTCCCTGGTGGCGCAGTGGTTGGGAGTCTGCCTGCTGATGCGGGGGACACGGTTTCGTGCCCCGGTCCGGGAAGATGCCACATGCCGCAGAGCAGCTGGGCCCGTGAGCCATGGCCTCTGAGCCTGTGCGTCCGGAGCCTGTGCTCCGCAGCGGGAGAGGCCACAGCAGTGAGAGGCCCGCATACTGCAAAAAAAAAAAAAAAAAAAAAAAGTTGCCTTCTAAATGCAACTTTAGTACTTTTTTTGTTTGAAACTTAAAAACATTAAATATCAGTGCTGAAATAACTGATGAACATTTTCTTCCTATAAAAAATTGCCAATAACTCCCAGTTCCCTCATAATCACTATTACAAACTTTTTTTTATCCTTTGAGACTTTTTTTAAAATTTTATTTAATTTTTGGCTGTGTTGGGTCTTTTTTGCTTCATGTGGGCTTTTTCTCTGGTTGCAGTGAGCAGGGTCTACTCTTCATTGCGGAATGCGGGCTTCTCATTGCAGTGGCTTTTCTTGTTGCGGAGCATGGGCTCCAGGTGCACGGGCTTCAGTAGTTGTGGCGCACGGTCTTAGTTGCTCCACGGCATGTGGGATCTTCCTGGACCAGGGCTCAAAGCCATGTCCCCTGCATTGGCAGGCAGATTCTTAACCACTGCGCCACCAGGGAAGCCCTATCCTTTGAGACCTTTTAAAAAAACTTTTTTACATGCATGCACACACAACCAAATAAGTAAATGCTTGTAGAAAAAGTGCTGCTTTATAATTTTTTTGTATAAATATATACTGATGATGTGTGTCTTGGATTGCTGTAAGGATAAATGAGTTAAGTGTAAAATGGTTGGGACTCTTACTAATATATAGTAACTAGCTGATAGTTATCCAACGTTAGCAGTAATATTTTCACTGTTATTATTTGTGGAAAGGACTTTTACCATGTTTCATCATGTTCACACCTCAATTTATGTCAAAGAATTTATAATGAAAAAAGACCAGTGGGTATAATGTTTGTAGAAAAGAATCTCACCAACACTCCTTATTCAGCATGAAGTTTAAAAAGAAAATTAAAATCCTAAGAAAACTCAAAGACAAAGAATGGGTGAATAAGCCTACATTCACACCTCATATTTCATGCTGCACAATTTCATACCCATCAAAAAAACCTATTTATAGTAGTTGAAAACACATTTGTCAAAAAAGAGCAAAATATGAAATATCAATAATCACTTCCCCCTCAAAGCATAACACATGTAGGTCACATTCTTTTCCAGAATGGGAAAAAAAATATGATAGCCAACAATATCTGAATATTGATAACACCCCTCCAAATATTAGTTAAGGAAATCAATCCCTGAATTATGTATATATGAAAATAAGCACATTATGTAGAAAAATGTTGAGGGTTGACAGGCAGCCAGATCTGTATTTAGATTAAAATGTATAGCCTAATAGGCATGTGGATATTAAAACATGAAGAAATTATTAGTAGGGAATTCTCTGGCAGTCCAGTGGTTAGGAGTCCACGCTCTCACTGCTGAGGGCTGGGGTTCAGTCCTTGGTCAGGGAACTAAGATCCCACAAGCTGCGTGTAACAGCCAAAAGAAAAAAAATTAATAAGTGAAATAAATGTCCAAGACAAAATGCTAGAAAAATAAAAGCAAACTAAATCCAAATATAGAAGAAAAGGTATCAGTAAAAATAAAAGGCAAAAATACTTCAAGGAAAAAGTAAAATTATTTCTTTGTCAGAAAAAATACATATAGATAAGCATTGCTAATTCTGATGGAAAAAATAGCAGACAGATGAATACATAACTTATATATGGACATGATGTTTAGAGAGATTAATGTATTTACTAATAACTGGAAATCAAGCAAAAGGTGATATTTGTAGGAAAATGTAATGACAGAATTAACTCCAAAAGATGTAAACCCTTAATAGACCCAAACAATGCAGAAATATTTTGATGTAATCTCTACTTAAAGAGATCACCAAGCCAGATCATTTTATGGGCAAAATCTATCAAATATTCAAGGATTTACAAATCAAATGAGATAAAAAGCTTGCCATCTTGTTCTGTGAGTTTCACATAATCCTGATGTAAAAAATATAGTAATTTGAGTGTCATATAGTACTGTCTGCAAACATGAAAATTTATTCTAGCAGTCTATTAAAAGAATACAGATACTCATCATAATCTGAATCCATTACCTAAACTCAGAAATCAAATACTTTCCATAAAAACTTACCATCAGGGCTTCCCTGGTGGCGCAGTGGTTGAGAGTCCGCCTGCCGCTGCAGGGGACATGGGTTCGTGCCCCGGTCCGGGAAGATCCCACATGCCGCGGAGCGGCTGGGCCCGTGAGCCATGGCCGCTGAGCCTGCGCGTCCAGAGCCTGTGCTCCGCAACGGGAGAGGCCACAACAGTGAGAGGCCCGCGTACCGCAAAAAACAAACAAACAAACAAAAAACTTACCATCAAACTCTAAGGGGTCAGTAAACTAATTCAGATCATTGCCTGTTTTCGTATGGCATGCAAGCTAAGAATGGTTTTTACATTTTTAAGTGGTTGAAATAAAATGAAAAGAAAAATAATATATTGTAAAATTATATGAAATTCATTTCATTGTTCATAAGTAAAGTTTTTAATACAGAGCCCATGTATTCACTTACATATTGTCTTTGACTGCATTCACACTAAAACAGAGTTGAGTACCTGTGACAGAGTAAGTGGTTTGCAAAGCCTATAATTTTTTATTTTTTTTATTGCGGTACGCGGGCCTCTCACTGTTGTGGCCTCTCCCGTTGCGGAGCACAGGCTCCAGACGCGCAGGCTCAGTGGCCATGGCTCACGGGCCTAGCCGCTCCGCGGCATGTGGGATCCTCCTGGACCGGGGCACGAAGCCGTGTCCCCTGCATTGGTAGGTGGATTCTTAACCGCCGCACCACCAGAGAAGTCCCTAGAATTGGATTTTTAATATATTCTCATATATTCACCATTTTACATATGTCAACATACATGCAACCTGATCTCAAAATGAGTTGTTACCCCATCTGCTGTGATGTCACTGCTATCATCATTACCATTCTGTCCACATTCCAAATATTTAGCGATCCAGAAAACACCAGTCACCTATAGTTTAATGCATCTCACCATTGCCATGCACTTTGCAAAATATTTTGTTAAAAACAAAACAGTATGTTACATTCTATAATAAAATGAATGTAGATATAATGAGTGACTTTAGGAGTTACCTCCAAATACTATGTTTGCATCTTAGCAATAGCCTTATAATCCCACATCCTATAATGCACAGCAGCATATTAACTGTGCAGTTAAAAAAAAGAGACAGAACTCCCACTTAAGTGGTTTATCCAAGTGTGATCCAAACTAATTTGAACATGAAATCCTATTTGCTCCTAATCGCTGGTAACATTCTTGGGAAGTGTATATGTTTGGGAACTGTTTGGGTTTTTATTTTGTTTTTTGGCTAAAATCATGAATCAAAGGATGAAATTAAAGAAATCATTACAGGTAAGCTAGGAATTTGGGGATGGAGTATTTTCCATCTCCCTAATGTCAGGCACTACAGGATGCTGGACACAACTGTAAGCCATCAAAAATATTAAGATCGCTGATAAAGGTAAATACATGGATAAATATAAAAACAGTATTAATGTAATTTTGATTTTCAAAATTTGGGGGTTTTCTAAACAAGATTTAAAAAACAAATGCATAAAAATAATTGTAAGTCTAGATTAAAGTATACACAATATATAAAGATTCAGTTTGTGATATCAATAACATAAAGAGAAGATGC